TGGTTTTCACGAGACTCACCGGCGCATGCGCAACGCTGACCTCATATGTCATCAGCCCGGAGTTGCTTCCGTGTACAACTGTTGGCGCAAGCTACATTCAAGTGATTATTACGTTTTGAATATGAATATTTTTCTTACAAAAATGCATCGATTCACTACAGGAGGCCTTTGTTCAACCCCCTGGAGCCGTGTGAGACAATTTTTTTTATGGATGGGTGCTCTTTAGTTATCTTCTTTTGGACTGATGCATGCAACACCTGCTGAGTGGCATTAAACAGCTTGAAAGATCAAAGACAATTTTTAATATAACTCCGACTGGATTCGTCTGAAAGAAGAAAGTCATATACACCTAGGATGACTTGAGGGTGAGTAATTTGTCGGCTAATTTTCATTTTTGGGTGAACTAACCCTTTAAGCACATTGCAAGCACTATTTCAAACACAAGCAATAATACGTTTTTATTTATCCGTACTGGCAGAAGGCAGCACATTGGCATTGCTAATATCGGCTAATTGAGTTGCAGTGGTTTTTGTTTATCAGAGAGGGACTAAGTGGTGTGTCTGTTTGCATGATAATGAAAGACTCTCATCTGTGAGAGAGGCCGTAAAGGAGGTCATTAGAGTGGCCCATCGCTGTTCAGTGTCTGACCCCTCCAGGAGCAAGCAAGTGTGACAGAAATGGCTCTTCAGGCTCTTGTCCTCAAGAAATGTGCTGGACCAAAGTGAATGGTTTTCACTCATGTCCTCCTCTCAGCTCTGAGACTCTGGTAAGATCTGCCCATGTGCCTTTGTTGGAACTGAACTGCTGCTGGTTATTTCTGCACCTCAACTGTAAAGTTGCATCTGAAGGGTTCAGTTTGTAAGATTTTGTTTTTACATTTAACGCTGTGGGTTGGAATCAGTGTCCAAAAATGTCACAAAAAGTAACTAAATACCTTAGATAGGCTATTAAAAATGGCCACAAATGCCCCGCATGGTGAATTCCTGGTTTAATGTTTTTAACAGTTGATGCATTTCACTTGTTCATTTTCATTGCTTCTTTGTTGTTCTAGGCCTTTCTAGTTTAGTCTGATGCAGACACTGTAGTGATTATTCACTGTCATAATGGCAAATATTGTTGATTGTTTTGCTAATAAGAAAAGTTTTTTTTTTCATGGAAATGTGTATAAAACACTTCCAAAAATTAAAAAAAGACGGTATAAAGCTATATAACCTAGCACAAGGACAAAAAAAGTATTGTATTTTTTGTGTGTGCTATTTTATCATTATTTACAGCTACTTTTGTATTTTATGTTTTTTGTATTGGATTTATAGATGTTCATAGATTTAGTTAAATTGAAGATAAAATTGTGATTTAATTTTAAGATTAATTTGAGATAAATCTTCATATTTTCATAAATAAATAAAATAAATTAATTCCAGGGGCAATTACTGAATATGGTTTTGTATACTGAATACTGAATACTTCCTTAAACTGAATATGGTTACTTATTGATAAGTTTTTATTTACATTTTCATGAGCCAGTTTTGAACAAATCTTATGGGTTAATGTTAAAGTTAAGACATTAAAGTTAAATTCCACTGACCTATTCCCAAATTGTGAAAACAAACAAAACAAAAAATGTACTGACAGAAATGCACTTAACATGAATGTTTATGGGAAATTATTTGCCACCGATGCTGTCGATAGAGCTTCTCGTATATTCCTTTAATGTACACATTATAGAAGGCACTGCTGTGAAAGATATTGACTACAGGCCGTATAATGTCACCACAAGTACATTTAGTTTACATTGATATTCTGTCCAGGCACACGCGTTTTAAAGGGCTTACAGGAATTTGCATACTGCGTGGCAGTAAAAACTGCGGTGGACATCATACATGGCTGTGGTTTCTCAGATGCACTAATGAGTGCATATTCAGTGCTCTGTGAGTGTTTATGCGTGCAAGTATTACTTCACAGTTTCCATGCGGTATATAGTTTTTTTTTTTGGCAGTAATCCATCCTCAATACAAGGGTGAAAGGCCGTGCAAGCTTCCAAGTCTTTTTTTTTATTTTTTTTTTTTACCCTTCTGTTTCAATAATGACAGTCATTGTTTGATAATGTGCTAATTTAAAGGAAAACCATCTAAACAATGAACAGTGTTGATGTATTGTGTGTGGGGAAACAGCAGCCTTTTTGTTACGGTAAAGGTTTGTTCTGCCTTTTCCTTCCTGAAATGCAAGAGGCCAAGATCTCGCTCCTGTCATTGAATTAGTGTCAGTGTTTGGTTAAGGTCACCCTGTGTTGCAGGTGGCAAAATTATAATGTCTGTTTCCTAGCAAAGCATTTCATTGAGGGGGGAAAAGAGTCAGAGAACAGCTTGTTTCCTTTGTGGGGACATATGGACACATTCATGCTCTTCTACATCTAATAGCCTGTGGCTATTCTACTGTGTCCCTCTTACCAGCTGGACAGAACAGACAGTCACAGTCTTCAGATATGTAAACCTCATCAGAGTGCTTACAATTAGTCAGTTTGCCTATAGATTATGGATAGATTTTCAGATTTCTTTTTTGCAATTAACCGTTTTCCTCACTCTCCTCTATGTGTCAGTTGCATCTGTAATGTCTGAAGCCCTCACACACTTGAAGTTTCCATTTGAGAGTTCTGTCCTTTCATTTAGTTTTGTTCTAGCTCTTCTTTTTATTGAGCTGAAATGAAACGCAGGATCATCTGATTACTGAAAGAGATTGAAGTCACAACAAAATTGCTTGTAAAGGTTGATGTGCAATATTTCATTAACTCAGTGCCTCTTTGAATCGGAATGAATTAATTCATTTTTCATTTCGCACACATGCCCCCAGTTGCACCTGTCATCTTCTGCTGCTGACTTCACACTCTCTGTTGCCCAGAGAAACGGTAACCGTTGCCATGGAATCACAACACAGCCTTGTAGTATTTGTTTATTTATGTGATTTTTTTTTTGACGTAAGCATGAGAGTGATGCAGAAAAAGGCCAGAGAAGGGCCAAATCAAGCCTAGGGAGGAAACTCTCAAACTCGTCAATGTGAATGAAGTGTGCCTTTTTTTCAATGTAACAATTTCACATATCCCAGCTTACAGAGACAGCTATATGTAACCCTACTATTAAAATAGTTTGAGTGTCATGACCATACCAACAAAGCAACATTGACTCAACCAATGGCATGAGTTTGGGGGTGGGGTTTAGGAATCAAGTATTCATTCTTTTTTGAAAATATTTAGAAATCTTTTCCATAAACTCCATCCATGTCGTGCAAACACTCCTTTTACTCTTCACACCCTTCGTTCTGTTAGTGTGGCGGTTTGGAGATTCACATCCTGTCTATAACTCCACCAGCCCCTCGGGCTGAGTCACACGGATGACCATTTTATGGATTACTGTGGATGGGCCGTATGAGATATTAAATTAGCACACGCCTGAGGGACGGGCCCCTCGCATTGCCGCCAGGAACTGCAATGAACAACAGGACCACCATCATCACCACCCATATTACACTAAGTGCAAGCATGTGATTTCACATGATGTTTACAGTTAAATGTGTTTGAGAGTTTCTACAAACAAACACTCTTAGGAGCATAAGCTGTCATCCTAAATGTCTTCCAGAGACACAGAAGTGTGACCGAGAGTTAGTCTGTCATTATCAGAAGGATGCCAGAAGGAGATACAGCGAGTGCTTCTCATTAGCGAACTTTTCGTCCTGTTATGTGGTAAAGGAAAAAGAGGCGATATGGCCTGCATTTAAGGTCTCGTTCGCCTTTAAAATCCATGAGAGAGGGATGAAGGAGACTGGCGATGAGAGATTTTTCTGCCAAAACAATCAGCCCTATGCTGACGCACAAAATCACCTCACATGCTAATAAAAGAATCAAAGAAAAAGATGGAATGAAAAAAAACAACAATAGCAGAGCAGAGGTGGCAAAGGTGAAACCGCTCAGGATAGGTCTTTAGCTGTGTGCTGTTGCTGTGGGAGACCGTCGGAGACAATAGCCGGAGTGACAGGTAATTTAACAGACACTGCAGTGGAGTGAGTCGAGCACACTGTTAGCAGATCGCTTCATTGCCGCCGCTGTTGATGAGAAGTGTTTTACAGAGCCAGAATTAGAAACAGTCAGTGAGTGGCAGACTGTCTTTCTCCAGGGGAGACTCTTCTAAAACTTTCAAGGGGGCTTCAAGATGACTGAAAAGTACTTCAATTATGTTAAAACAACAAAAAATCAGGATGTTTCTTATTTTAATTCACCCCCCCAACGTTTTTTTTTTTTTTTAAAGAATCAGTGTTCCCACTCATGGAAAAGTCATGTAAATGAATAAAATATTATAACTCCATGTGCGTTTTTATAATGAATATATATTTTACTGGGTAGAAATTGTTAGTACAAAATATATAAAAAAATGTTTGCCCTTAATCCTTATCCAGTAAATAACGAAAAACTGGAAAGGTCATATTGTTGTTGATAATAAGGGCCCTGTATTCAAAATGTTGAGAAACAGCAGTTTATATGTATATACAGTGTAGGCTGAAGATTTGCAGTCCTCCACTGATGATGATGATGATGATATAAATCATTACTTTGAGATTTGTGTTTGTGTAGAAGGCCTCCCGTCCTTACCGTTTTAGCACATAGTCTGCATGCACAGCAGGGTAAAGTGCTGTTAAGATCTCTTTGTAATGACTCTGAAAATGTGTCTATGACACTTCTGTTTATTCTCCCATCTCCAGTACACAGTGCAGTATGTGGAGTTTGGCTTCACATGTGTGTGTTTGTCACGGAAGGTGAAAGTTTAGTCTCTAGTCAGAGTTACAGGCAGAAGGAGGGTGTAAACCTACAGGAAGTGTTACAGCTTTGAAACATTAACATAAGTGTGGCGACCATACAAATCTGCCCCACCTTTATTTCACACCGCAGTGATTCCTTGTGTAAACACTAACTTTTTTCCCCCTCTGTGTCGCTCTCTATTTTTGTAAATCAACAGGCTTTTCTCCAGAGAATAAGGCAGACTGCAGAAAACCAACAATGTCTCACTCCAGAGCAGGTCAAGGTAAAAAAAAAGCATTAACACACACAACATTTACATGCAGTATTATTTAGAAAATATACAGAGGTTCCAAAATATTTGGACACTTAAAATGTTACTGTATTAGATTAAAAAGTGTTATTTTTGGTGCTAAAAAAAAAGATCTCTTCCCTTCACACAGATCTTGTTTTCCAACATTGAGTTCATTTTGGAAGTCCATTATGAGTTTCTTTACACTCTGGATGCCAGTTTGCAGCCTGAACCCCAAGCACACCATTCTCTTGGACATGTGTTCCTCAAGTTTGTGAGTCCATGAGATTGCATTTGAAATCATCTTTGAACTAGTGCTTTTCTGATTAGCAATTGATTTATGTTTTTTGGGCTTTTTAGTCATGCAAACCATTAAAATGTGTGTCCCAATCCATCCCAGTGTGGGATCGTTCCCAGTATCCTAGATCTGTATGCGTTCACCTCCACCATTCTCTCAAAATACTTTCAGCCCCGAGACTCCTGCCACTCCTGTGGTCTTTCTAAAAATTGTATGAATATATAACCTGCCGGACACATGACCAGTAGTTCAATAAAAGTGTAGAAAATGCCATTTCACTCACAATTCCAATTTTAGCAACAGCTGTTCAGTTCAAACAAAAGAAAGAAATGTATTTAATGATGTTACTTAGCGGCTCTAGGGGTTTAGTAGAAGGTCTGTCTGCTCCACTTTATTTTGGATATCAGTCCAAAATCACTGCATGACGCATTAAAGGGGTGGTTCATTGCGATTTCACTTTTTTAACGTTAGTTAGTGTCTAATGTTGCTGTTTGAGCATAAACAATATCTGCAAAGTTACGAAGCTGAAAGTTCAATGCAAACGGAGATATCATCTTTTAAAATTCTGGAAGTTTAATGCCTACAAAAACGGCTGGTAGGGACTACAACAAGTTACTTCCCGGGTTCATGACATCACAAAGCCAGATAAACCCCGCCCTCGGGAAAAGGCAGCAAAGGGGTTGAGGCCATGCTGCGCTGCTTTAGAAAAGAGGAAGCGAAAACTAGAGGTGCACGTAAAAATCTCTTCATATATGAATCGCGAATCTGTCTTCTAAGGATTCTAATGGATTCACACGTTTCAAAATCAATGTTCTAAAGTAGCGGTTCTCAATCCTTTTCCTCGCATCCCCCTGCTCTGCACACGCTCTGCATCTCTCTCTCTCTCTCATTCAGCTCAGCTCCAACAATGAACTGTTACAATTACACGTTTAGACGCGTGCTAGAGGCGGTTTAGCCAATCACAACACACTGGGCTAGCTAACCAATCAGAGCCCATCGCCTATTTCTGAGGGAGGGGCTTCATAAAAGGAGGAAATGATCAGGCCATTTCTCAGAGAAGGGACAGAGAGGTGTGGAATAAAGGTAAATTATGTGAAAAATAATGCGTTTTTTAACAAACTAAGCATTAACACATGTTAAATTATACCCCATAAACACAATCAAGCCTAGAAAAAACCCGGTGAACCACCCCTTTAAGAAAAAAATACACCTGATCTTTGATCCATTTTCAGTCAGTTGGTTTGTTACATTTTTCAGTTTCTGAAAGGCTTGATATGACATTATATGGGTTATTATTTTATTTTTATTAGAATTTTGGGGTATAAAAAAACAAAACAATAAAATATTCAGATTTTTCACATGCATTACAGTTGCAACTTTATGGAAGCATTGGTAATGTTGTCTAAATAGCTGTCTACAATTCTAGCTTCTTTATCCATTTAAACAGTTCAGCATTAATTAAAATACTTTTCCCTCTCTGGAAATATGGTCATAATGATGATTTGTGATCTGAGCAGTGGTTTAATTAATTTCTTAGTGTTGGCTGTCAGCCATGCATATTAATTCTGGCACTTTAACTCACAAGAAGCCATTTTGGGTTTGGCATCTGTATGTGACCTTCGACCAAGTTCACTGAAACATTCTGAGGTTTTAACCTCAAACTGGAGTGAATTTCCTCTTAATTGGACTCGGTGTATGTGTGTGCGTTTTTAGGATGAACGGTGCTATAAAGCATATGCCAGGACAGATGTTCGCCTCGTTCATGGATGAGGTTGTGTGATGCTGCCAAACTCTCTCATTACAGGTGCTGAGGTCTGGAGCCCTGAGGGCCCAACCAGAGTACTGACACACACACATTGCATACACATTAATACAAATACCAAACCCTCTCTAGACATATACACACAAACATATATAGAAAACACACAGCTCTTCATATAGACAACATGCACAGACAAATGAAGAGGGTGAAAGGAGAAGGAAAAGAGGAAAACACACAACTGCTCTCCAACCACACAGTGCCTGTGGAATCCCAGTATCGCTTTCCTTCTCTGTCAGGATGCTTCAAGCACCCTCATCCGTCAGGATTCACAGCGTCCCCGTCAAGGTTACAGTGCCTACACAGACGGTTCCTGTGGAGCTCGGATAAATGACATCCTACCCTCACCACATGCATCTTTAATAAACTGTCATCTCAGCCCTGATTTGATCCAGATGAACAGTTCTTCTGGACTTTTTTTAGCCAAACCCAACAGACCCTATTTAATGTAATGTAATGTAATAAAACGTTTTTTTTATGAAGGTTTAGTTGGACCAGCATTTATTTATTTATTGATCACTACATAATTCTCAAACTCTCATCTGTGGTATTTGATAGTTTTTGATCATTTCAAAATAATATTAATTATAAAGAATGACTAGCTGTACAAACTTTTAAATGGTAATGCAGTAGAGATCTGTTTTTAATAACTGCATGCTGGGATTAAACTTTAATAAAAAGCAACTCATCTTTAAGCTCTTAAAATAGAAGAGTGCACATCTTTAATCATTAAAGGTGTGCACTGCTCACTTTTAAATGTCTGAAGATGAGTTGCTTTTCTTTTTAGCTTATAACTTAACCTATTTCCACCTAGCTTTGCACCCCACAGAGAAGGTGTGGCTTTCAGGCAAATCCTGTGCACTTTGATTTCACTTCCTGTGTTGTTTCGAATAATGTAGGGCAAAATGACAGCGCCTTGTTGCTTCTCTAGCAGTTTCACTACCTGAAATCACCCCCCTATGTCACTTCGCAGCTCAGTATTTGAGAGAATGGTTCAAGGAAGAAGCATATTGAGCTATGCAAAATGTATTAAAATATTTATTAAATGTTTAGTATTTCCCATATGAGCTGAGCTTAGGGCCTAGGACAAATGTTTGTGGGTGGATCAGAGGGCCTGCCAGCCTGGGACAAAGTTTGTACCTGAACATGAGATTTATAAATTGGAATGTGCAAAAACAAACCTCCTAAGAGGGTCTTAACCCCACCAAAAAAAAAAGATGAAGTTTGACTATCTAGTGTTTTGAAGTGTATTGACTCTTCTCTCTCCACTGCAGAGGGACCGTTTCTCTGTGTATGGCGAGTACTGTAGTAACCATGAGAAAGCACTCAGACTACTGATGGAGCTTAACAAGATCCCTCACGTACGGACTTTCCTGCTGGTAAGCACCTTTCGTTTTCAAAAAGTCCAGTCTTTTTTATTACATCATATTCTGATGAAGATCCCTCATACATCCTGTGACCGTGCTGGCACAGATAAGTTTCACATATGAAGCCCTGCAACAGATTTCATTAGTGATAAGATCAAATAAACATTAGTGGCTAGATCAGTTCATCACAGGAAATAAATTTATCTCCAAAATGTATTAAAGTGAAAGTGATACCCAAACCTATTTTACTGTACAAACCAGGATGTGAGAGTGTGCCTTTCAATGCTTTCTATGGAAAGCCACTGTATTCTCAACATAAATCAGTTTAATGGGCTGTTGTGCAAATCCGATCATGTGTTTGTTTTTTCAGCACCTCATGTTGTTAGGAGGTAAGAAGAGCACAGATGTTCCTCTTGAGGGGTATCTCCTCTCTCCCATTCAGAGGATCTGTAAATACCCTTTGCTACTGAAGGTACAGCTTCCCTTTTTCCGCTATGGCTATTTTCAATCATGTGCATTATGAGTTGATTATTTCTTCCATATATACTACTTTGCAACATTCTGATAGCCATACATTAACAGTAGCTATGTGTATGACAGGACAAACAAACCTACAACTAAACATGAAATGACATTTGCAACATTTTACTTCACTAATGTGACATTTCCAAATGAAAAAGACTTTGTTTTATCAGTTAGGATTTTTTTTTTAAATGGGTGTTACTATTTAGATATTTAGCGATAAGTTAACATTATGCAGTAGCCTGTGTGTCCTTAATGATGTCAGAGGAAAGGAAATTTGTTTAAAAAAACATCGAACTGTTGGGGAACGGTGGTGTACATTTATAATTACGCTTCCTTGGGAGTAAGATCATGAACGTATTAAATGGGATCAATTTTGATTTACTATTCATTTTAAACAGTCCTTTATAGCACAGCATATCAGCAGATAGTTGATGTGTAACTGTGTAACACAGGCATGTACCTGCTGTTTGTCCTTCAGGAACTTTTGAAGAGGACTTCTAAGAAGCATTCAGATTACCCCGCAGTAGAGGAGGCCCTGCAGGCCATGAAAGCCGTGTGCTGCAACATCAACGAGACCAAGCGACAGATGGAGAAACTAGAGGCTCTTGAGATATTACAGTCACACATAGAGGGCTGGGAGGTGAGTTAGATACATGATCGCTCATTGTCATAGATGATGCACTTTTTTTCTTTATCCTGGTTGATGGTTTTAAAGGAACAGAGCAGCACCAGTTCGTTTGGTTTAATGTTTCTTTAAAAAACTTATTTGTTATAGGGAAGTTCCTCTTTGACAGTATGCTTTGTGTTTATGAGCATTTTTTAAGCGTAGCCTCGAAAGAATCACTGACGTGAACATGATCAGTGTCGCCTTGTGTCTGCTGATGACATTTTCTTAGGACAGGAAGAGGAAGTCTTAACACAAAGGGCCGTTGCTATGGAGATCTGTTAGTTTTGTGTGCCACCACAAACTCCCCTCCTCTCTCTCTTTGCTCGTCTTTCATTGCTTGTCTCTCCCCGCCTCCTTTTTTCCATCATCTTCTCCATGCCATAGTTACTTTGTCTCCATCCTCTCTTTCTCTCACTCTTTGTACCCTGTCCATTAACCCTCTTTATTGATTTATCCGATGCAGTACTGAGTGGTTGTACAAAGTGGGGCATTTTCTATAGCTGGCGTTAAGCCTTAAGTGTTGCTTAGATGGTTAAAATTTTCACCGTTTAGTGCATACAGTGCATTCTTGCTCCTGTTGAGTTATTTTCTAGTCAAATCATGCCTCTGTGAACATATAAAGTTTGTGGATAGGAATAGTCTGCCCATAAAAAAATATAATTGTCATTATTTACTCAATCTGATGTTGTTCCAAATCCATATTGTTTTCTTTCTTCTGTAGACCACAAAAACAAGTTAATGTGGGCTGTCGAACTATAAAATGACAAGAATAAATGCAAAATGTACAAGAAAATGCAAAAGTTAAGTTTCATAACACTTCAGAAAACTTGGAATGTAGAATATAATGGAATTTGTGTCTTTGTTTTTTTTTTTAACATAAAGCTTGACATTCTGGGCGTCCATTTACTTTCATTATATGAAAAAGAGCAGCAAGTACAATCCTGAACATTTCACAGAAGAAAGCAAATAATATGAGTTTGGAATGACATAATTATTCCTTCAAGGTTTCAATTCTTCAGAGATCATGTATAGATAACATTAAACATTTAACACAACATAAAATGAGGGCTTAAACATCAGGCTTTATGTAACCCCAGATATAGAGTGTTTCAGGATGTGGGCTCTGATTGAAAAGCAAATGCATTAAGTTTCCATTTGGTCCAGAGTGTTTCACCTTTATAGGTAAATAGTGCAGAACAAGCGGGAAGCAGATTCCCATCTCTCTAATTGACCCGTCTGGGCACGCCATTGATTAAGCAGAGAAGATGGAGTCTGCTTATCAAACACACTCACACACGCCCACACCTGCCGAGCATAGAAAATCACATCCTGTACAGAGTCAGCACGAACCGCAGCGTCGGAGTGGAATCAATTTTTAATGGTACTGGATATTGAACAGGACACAGTCTGCGTTACCAAAACCTGTCGGGCTTCCTCAGGCCCCTTAAAGAGAAAGCACAGATGGAAGGTCTGGTTTAGTGACCAGATTGGAATTGTTTTAAATGAAATTTGACATACTCACTGTCATAACACAAGGAGATTGCAAACAAAGGCAAATATAATGTCTACTTGTTGAAAAGATGGATGATCAAATTAAACCGATTTATAAATCAAGTGGCAGCTAATCACTTCTGAATAAAATATTTATTGTGGAATGTTTATAGTAGAAACCCTTATACTGTTCTTTTTCATGGAACTTGTGAAGATGCATGTTTATCAAAATCAATACAAATGTTCCTTTGTTTTGTTCTCCAGGGGACGAACTTGACTGATATATGCACTGAACTGTTACTCCAAGGCAACCTTTTGAAGATATCAGCTGGAAACATCCAGGAACGGGTCTTTTTCCTGTTTGACAACCTCCTAGTCTACGGCAAGAGGAAGTCCCGGTTAGGCCTTTAAGATGCTTTTGAGTTTTGTATTAATCTGGTCTGTAATATTGGTAACCTATCTGCATAAACATGTTTTCTTGTAGATTACTGTTATCCCTAGTAAAACTTCACTGAAACAGCCATCAGAATCATGTGTAGAAACTAAACAATATTGGTCTCATTTTGTTCACTCTTTAAAAACCCAGAGTGTCTGGGAAGAAATCCACCAAAAGGACAAAATCCATCAACGGGCCGCAGTACGTGTTCAGAGGCCGCATCAACACGGAGGTCATGGAGGTCGAGAATGTGGAAGACGGAACTGGTAGGTTTGAGTTTGTTAGTGCTTTTAAAGTGTTTTGCATGTGTTATGTATTTTCATGCTGCTTAAGAGTATGGAATTGCTAGCTTAGCAACATTCAAAGTCTATTCAAATCAGTTGAGTTTCCTGTGCAGCTAAGTAGGTTTTGAAACTATTGTGTTTGTATCATGCCACACAAATATTCATGTTTTAAAGATTTTTAAGGTTTAAAAAAAAAAAAAGGTCTTTTATGCTCTTCACTGCATTTATTTCCATCAAAAATACAGTAAAACGGTAATATTGTGAAATATTATTACAAAATAAAATAACTTTTTCCAATTTTAATGTGTTTAAAAATGTAATTTATTCTTGTTAAAAACTGATTTTTTTTTTTATCAGAAATTACTCCAGTCCTTAGTGTCACATGAACCTTCAGAAATCATTCTAATATCCTGACTTGGTGCTCAAAAAACAGTTCTTATAACTGTCAGTGTTGAAAACAGCTGCACTGCTTAATCTTTTTGTGGAAACCATGATATATTTTTTCAGGATTCTTTGATGAATTTCAAAAGAAATCAAAATATTTTTTAAATAAATAAATTTAATAAAATAATTAAATAAGCTAAACTTTTGAATGGTAGTGTACAGTACAAAGCAACATTTTCTTGGGATGTGTAAGGGAGTTTCCTGTATGATGTCCTTTTTTTGTTCCATCTGATCACCATGTGATACTTATGAACATCACAAGAAACAAACAGAACCATTTAAAGGGAACTTCAGCTGATGCAGTAGAAATTAGCGCCTTTATGTCATAAAGATAAGATCACGCAGGGCTTCTCAGAATCGAGCGCTTTGCATTTAGCACCTCTGTTGCGCTGACTGCCGAGGGGCCCTCGTCAACGGTGCCGTTCAGCTGTCGGGCTGAGCAAGAAATTCAACTCTCAGGGGAAGCAACGGCTGCTCTTCTCACCTTTTACTTTTTGTCTTTCACCACACCTTAAGTTGCAGGGTGGAAGTGCAACTTCTCTCTCTTTTTCTCTGAGCCACAAAGAAAAACATCCTTTCTGAAAAACAAGCCATAGGGCTGTCACAGTACCAGCCTCTACACCACACGTGCCTTCAGTTGATACGGCCAATGTGAGACTGTGTTTTGTGTTTCAGTCTCTCAGTGTCATGTTTATCAGGGCTTGTGTCACATGATGCTCCACATCTGTGTAAATGCATCATTTAACTGGTGTGTTTTGCCTTATTGGATAAGGTTACAGATAAAATGACTCGCATGCTGGGGGTGAAGATTGAAGATAATGAGTTTGGAATTCAGATATTGGGCCTAATTACAGTTTTATGATTACGGTGTTGTTTCAAGGGAGATTTCAAGGCAGTTTAGTGATGAATAATGATTGGAAGGGGTAGGTGTTATGACCAAAATCTTATATCAAGCTATGAGTAATTTTATTTGCCAGTCATTTTAATTAATATTTTATACGGCAATATCACATAATATGGTATGTGATATATAAAATGTAGAAATACATTCATAATAATTTTATAAATATTAAATAAATAAACAAATAAACAAACAGATAATAAATACTATTTTATTTATAAATATTATTCATATATTATTATTTTAAATATTAAATATTTTACAAATGATCTTTTTTTTTTGGAAACTAAACCAAAAGATAGGATTATTTATAGTAAATTAATAACAATAAAAGACTGACTTTACTGCAAAAGCAGCACCATAATATGTAATGGTCATAAATATGTCTTGAGTGGAAAAAAAATAGTAAAAGTAATAAAATGTATTAGTTCTGACTCTAAATTTTGATTAGATCAGTCACATTTGAAGCCGTAATAAAATGGCACATCTTTTGCGGCAACAGGAAAAAAAGTGTGGCAACCTTAAACAACTCATTTTTATATTTTCACATTACTCCATGTTTCTTCATCGCTCTCACATGCAAAGCATGGCAATCTGATCTGCTTGTTTTGACTGGGCTATTGTTTTAATTGGAAAACAATCAGATAATGCTTAGGTGGAGTTTATTACTGAACCAAACTTGTGTGCCAAATAAGATTACCCATAAATTCTCTCCAGTTTTATATGAGCTAAAAGCCTTTGTCAAATCCTCTCAGTGCTCTGAAATCTATTTATACTACCTCAACATTAACCACTGCTCATTACATATTCCATACCTCATTCATTTCTCCATATAATTCACCTGCTGTCAGGTCTGGGATAATATTGGACCATGAGTAACAGTCTGAACCCCTCACTCACACACATGCTCTCTTGTCAGGCTTTGGTTTAATGGAGGGAGAGAAGTGCCATGTGCTGAAATGCACCTTTAATTATTTCTCACGCTAATAGGATAGTTTAACCTTTTTACATTATTAATGCTTCTAAATTGTTGAAGAAAATCTTATCTTATTATCTGTGTCAGCATTTGTGTTTGGGTCAGTAACTCATTTAGTTATGGTTAGAGGGAACCTTTTTAACCTTGGTAATGAGCTGACAAAATGATATCTTAGCGGAAATGAAATCTCCACATTTTTTAAGGTTATTTTGAAGGCGCAAACCATTTTGACAGATGGTCTGATCTGATTTAGTTGTTTGCATGGCATATAAGTAATAGTTGTGTTGCATGTGTACGCATTACGTGCATTACATAATGTATAATGTTTGTGTGATCTAGTTCTCAATTGGTGTACTCGTGTTATTAGCGTTGATGGATATTGTTTTGTCTTTTTCGTGTTCTTTTACTTTGTCTTTCTAGCGGACTATCACAGTAACAACTACACAGTGACCAATGGCTGGAAGATTCACAACACAGCCAAAAACAAGTGGTTTGTGTGCATGGCCAAGAACGCTGAGGATAAACAGAAATGGCTAGACGCCATTTTAAAGGAACGTGAACAGAGAGAGAGTGAGTAATTTTTCTTTGGTTTATAACTATGGAGTATGCAACATATGAGCATGAAATAACAGTTAAATGTAAAAAAAATGTAAACCGTTATAACTCATACTCAATATTTTGAATCAAACAAAATCATTAAAATATTTCTGATGGCATGATGACTGGTTTTATAATTTAACATGTTAATTTAGTAAATATTTATTGTGTAAAATTGGTATAAAAAAAAATTACATTTAAATGATTGTATAATAGTTATTTCGAAAGTGATTTGAAATTATTTTAAAAATAATTTATCAATAGCCAGTCCTAGTCACAACATTTACTAAATAATCATACTCGTCAAAGCAAATATTTTTACATCTATTGAATAGGAATGAACCCATTTCCACTGTGATTTGTATTTTAGCATCCTGCATTTTGCTATACCTAGTATGTTTTTATGTGGATTTTTTTATTTTTCTTCTGTTGTGATATGAAACACCTGTTCTCTGCTGGGACACCTGTTCTTGTTATATCTGCTTTTGAGACTTGTGTTTTACTACAGGGTTGTTCTGATTGTTAGGTCACATGAGCATAGCAGTAAAACCCCAAATATACCACAGAGCCCTTTCTGACCGCAGCTCTTATGTTTCAGCATGAAGTATTAGTCTGTAGGATCGGTTACCAGTGTCCAAGGCAAAGTCCTCAGCCAGAGTATTGTAATGCGGTGTGAGCTGGCGGTAGCGCGAGACGTCACTTTAATGCTGCATTGCCAGATGAAAGCAGAAGTTTTATGGAGCGTATCAGGTTTCCAGCATTTGAAATCGGAGACCATGAGTAACAGTCTGAACCCCTCACTCACACACATGCTCTCTTGTCAGGCTTTGGTTTAATGGAGGGAGAGAAGTGCCATGTGCTGAAATGCACCTTTAATTATTTCTCACGCTAATAGGATAGTTTAACCTTTTTACATTATTAATGCTTCTAAATTGTTGAAGAAAATCTTATCTTATTATCTGTGTCAGCATTTGTGTTTGGGTCAGTAACTCATTTAGTTATGGTTAGAGGGAACCTTTTTAACCTTGGTAATGAGCTGACAAAATGATATCTTAGCGGAAATGAAATCTCCACATTTTTTAAGGTTATTTTGAAGGCGCAAACCATTTTGACAGATGGTCTGATCTGATTTAGTTGTTTGCATGGCATATAAGTAATAGTTGTGTTGCATTATGTTGTATAATGTATAATGTTTGTGTGATCTAGTTCTCAATTGGTGTACTCGTGTTATTAGCGTTGATGGATATTGTTTTGTCTTTTTCGTGTTCTTTTACTTTGTCTTTCTAGCGGACTATCACAGTAACAACTACACAGTGACCAATGGCTGGAAGATTCACAACACAGCCAAAAACAAGTGGTTTGTGTGCATGGCCAAGAACGCTGAGGATAAACAGAAATGGCTAGACGCCATTTTAAAGGAACGTGAACAGAGAGAGAGTGAGTAATTTTTCTTTGGTTTATAACTATGGAGTATGCAACATATGAGCATGAAATAACAGTTAAATGTAAAAAAAATGTAAACCGTTATAACTCATACTCAATATTTTGAATCAAACAAAATCATTAAAATATTTCTGATGGCATGATGACTGGTTTTATAATTTAACATGTTAATTTAGTAAATATTTATTGTGTAAAATTGGTATAAAAAAAAATTACATTTAAATGATTGTATAATAGTTATTTCGAAAGTGATTTGAAATTATTTTAAAAATAATTTATCAATAGCCAGTCCTAGTCACAACATTTACTAAATAATCATACTCGTCAAAGCAAATATTTTTACATCTATTGAATAGGAATGAACCCATTTCCACTGTGATTTGTATTTTAGCATCCTGCATTTTGCTATACCTAGTATGTTTTTATGTGGATTTTTTTATTTTTCTTCTGTTGTGATATGAAACACCTGTTCTCTGCTGGGACACCTGTTCTTGTTATATCTGCTTTTGAGACTTGTGTTTTACTACAGGGTTGTTCTGATTGTTAGGTCACATGAGCATAGCAGTAAAACCCCAAATATACCACAGAGCCCTTTCTGACCGCAGCTCTTATGTTTCAGCATGAAGTATTAGTCTGTAGGATCGGTTACCAGTGTCCAAGGCAAAGTCCTCAGCCAGAGTATTGTAATGCGGTGTGAGCTGGCGGTAGCGCGAGACGTCACTTTAATGCTGCATTGCCAGATGAAAGCAGAAGTTTTATGGAGCGTATCAGGTTTCCAGCATTTGAAATCGGAGCCCATTTTAACAGGTGCCACATCAGTCACACCTCTCTGACCGTCCAGATCTTTAGCCAGCGCCCCCTTCGTTCCTCTGTACAAGTCAAAGACGTCATTGAATTACATGCTCCGATTAATACTTAGCTTGACATGCAAAAGTGAATTCTGGTCATCTGGAGTGTAAGATCAGAAAGATATTTCATTCAAACACAAATCTGAATAATGCATTACAAATGCATGGTCTGCTTAAAAGATACCTTTAAATAATTAACAAAAAATATTTTAATAATTATTAGTAATTTTAAAATAATTGTAAAAAAAAATTTTTTTAAATGCATGTTGAATGGTTACATTATTTACATTTTTTTAAATTTAAAATCATATTTATTTATTTATTTTGAAGAATGTGGGTGAACATTCCCTGAATTTATACCTATGTGCATCCATTTCATGTTGGTGTGCACTTTTTGAAATCAGCAGTTCAAAATAAGCAAGAAAAAAAAATCTAGATTTAGGGTTTGAAATGAAGACTTGCTCATTTCTAAAATTGCAATTCAGCATCAGACCAAGGTGGAAATTATGCTTCAGCAAGGTTATTTCTGAGGAGCCATTTTTAATGATGTGTTGCCTCTTTGCCGAGACTTGATTGAATTGGAGCCTAGTACAGCTGCCACGAACACCTTCTCAAAAAACTCTTTGTGAGCGAGAGCTGCAGCTGCCGGTGGCTTCCCTCTCTCCTCAGACACAGTAAAGAGCTCTGAATGAGAGCCATGCCAGCTGCCGCCACATCTGAGCACGTCACACCTCCTGCATCAGCTGCAATCCCATTGATAGTCTCTCTTTAACACCACCTTTTGTTTAAATGTATGGTAAAAACGTGAATGTTTTTTTTTGACCAAAGTATTCTTTGCATTAGTCAACATTAGGGCTGGACAATAATTCAATATCAATATGTATCGCGATATTTTCAAATAAAAAAACAGTTATTTTAAATAGTAAAAATATTTCAAAATGTTACTGTTTTTGCTGTATTTTGGATCAAATAAATGCAGGCTTGGTAAGCAGAAGAGAATTCTTTAAAAAAACATAAAAAATCCTAGGGTTCAAAAACTTTTGACTGGTATGTTAGCCTATAGTTTGAAGTAAAAAATATTAATATTAATAAGGAGAGTATGAGATTTATTTGACAGTGATTTCACATTTCTTGTTTGTATGAAGGCTAAATACCAATAAAAGGTGAACATTTATTTATTTGCGCCATTTTTTTCCTAAAATATTATATAGTTTTATAGGAGTAGGTTTCATAGAGTTGGCAAATTAATTTTTCATAAGTTTGTAGTTACAGACTTCTGTTGTGGCCGTTCTTGGCCGTTTTTATGAGGCTTTTTTAATAGTGTTCATATCGATATCGGAATTATATCGTATCGACCGAAATTAAGAAATATATCGTGATATAAATTTTGGCCATATCGTCCAGCCCTAGTCAACATACAAACAGCCTCGGACGACTTATGAAGTGGGGGGTTTTTTTTAGCCAACCTACTTTGTGCAAAGCTCCTGTTTCCGTTGCAGCTTGACTCTGGCTGCATTGCTAATATAAACAAGGCTGTTTTCAGCTGCATTGCACTATTGCACAGTTTTTAATATGCAGTGTTGTTGTTTTCAGGTCTTTTCAGGAAACTGCAAACATTTTGGTAGAGGTCTTTATCTGCATCTGTAGCTGTATCTATTCTCACCTTATTAACCACATCATGCCACTCAAACAGAAGTGCAGCAAAATACCTCAAATAGCAGCATGCATGTGCATGTGTGAACACAAACACTTGCAAACCCGTGTCTTATAATACAATGAGTTAAACCAGTGTTTCCTTTCAGCCTCACCTAAACATTAACTGACACAGCAACACGCACACTGATTTAGTGAAACAGCTAGTAAGTGACGCTCGAGGAATAAACTGTAATTATACAGCAGAACAGTCTAAAATGGTTTCTTTTACATTCAGACCAGTTCAGTTCCTTCCACAAATTTGCTATTAAAAATGATTTCTCCCCTCCTCAAGACCACTTATGTTTGCCAAATATGACTTATGATTTTCTATGAAAAATTGCACACATCTGACTTGGGTTGCAGGTGCAGCAAACTGAGATAAAAAATCAATTCCTGTACATTTGGATTTATTCATGAAATAACTTTTACAAAATCATTCATAAATTATTATTTTTAAGAATTAACATTGTGACAGCATTTACAATAATTACAAAATAATACAATTAAACAATTTAATTAAACAATTTGCATGTCCCATGCTCCTAAATATTTTTTAATTTGTACAAATGTTTTATTCACCAAAAATACAGTTATACAATTATACAATTTAATTAAACAATTTGCTTGTTTCATGAATGAAGCACATTGTTATTATTGCTCTTGGATGTGTATTTCTCAATTTGTATTAATATTGTTTTAACCAAAAAAATAAATTATAATATAGATATTTTTACATATAAATATGTATAAATGTAAAAAAAATGTAAACTATCTCAAAACATTTGAATGTTTTTAATTTTTTATATTTTTAATTACATTTAAATTGCTGATTTTTTTCACTTTTATTAGGAGTTCTTGACTTTTTTTTCTCATTTATTGTCAGGTTTGAAGCTTGGGATGGAACGTGATGCCTACGTCATGATCGCAGAGAAGGGAGAGAAGCTCTACCATATGATGATGACCAAAAGCCGCCACCTCATCAAAGACCGCCGCAGGAAACTCACCATTGTACCCAAGTGCTTCTTGGGAAAGTAAGTTTGAGCATTATGTAATGCATTTTAGAGATTCTCATTTACAGAGGGGTTCACCTTATGACTGGTCAGTTCCCATGCCAGTGATTGGCTCCCTCTGTGCTGAGTGCAGCACCTTCCCTCGGCTGCTTTTACACAGTCTGACTGTCTCCTGAATGTCTTGCAAGTCATCCTAATCCAAGAGACCCCTGCATGAATGAAAATGCATGCACACACACACACATACACACACTCACTTAGCTCTTGTAAATGCTTTCCCAAGCTCACTGCCAAGCACCCCATTGGACACAGACATTCCCAGCAAAAAAGCCTTCATTAAAGAGAAATCTGCATTCAGTCTCTCTCTTTTTTCTCTCTGTATCTCTCTTCATTTTTCCCTCTCTCTTTCTTTCTATCGCTTGCTCACCCAGTCTTTCAACACCATGAATGAACAATGAGTGCTATGTACGCCATTAAACTTCCAAATACAGTGTGTGTGTGTGTGTGTGTGTGTGTGTGTTTGAGAGTTGAGAGGAGAGATTCCTCACACCAATTAAAATTCCCTTTTCGCACTGCACTAGTAGATAAGGGAAAAACACTGTGGTCCATTTAAAGCTATTATATTGATGCAGTCTAATTTAAATGGCCACAAAAATTCACAAGTTAAGACATGAGCCATAATTAAATTAATTCATAAATCTGCAGGGCCTTTCCGCGGTGCAGTGTTGGGAGCCAGTAACTCAAAGTAGCAAATGCTGCTAACTTTATCTACATTTTCAGCAGCATGAGTAGCTTAGGTGTAGCTTTTACAGTCACAAGCCGATTTAGCCAGTGAATACCAATATTGTGCAACAAAATGCATTTTTTAAATTTTTTATAATTTTTATTATTTTGTTGTTAGATGCTGCTGTTCCATTTTTCCAGTTCTAGACCTAGTTTTATTTAGTATTATAGTATTTAATTTAAAACTACATATTTCAGTTTACACAGTTTGACTCTGATTGAGATCCTCTCTGGTTTTGAGGCAGATTAATGACTGCTGATTCAGTCATTAATCAGTAAAAAAAAAAAAAGGTTAACTTGATTAGTTCAAATGCAGTTAAGTAGAACTCCGCTGAAGTGGCTTAATAGCAAACTGTCGCTGGCCTCACGGCCTCAGCTGTGATGTTGTTCTCCTGTCAACACCTGACTGGAGGAATTTCGCACTGCTCCCTTAGAACACAATTATTAGTGCGTTTCAGCCTCGGTGGTCCAGGTGAAAGCAGCTGTGATTGGCTCTGTTGTTCGCTGGCTTGCGCATCCATCTCAGAATAGAACACAATCCGACTCCTTCCAGGAACAGCCGAGCAGTTCAGCTGTTAATATGGACAAGCACTCTGCTACTGCTCAGACAGTAGCACTGCTCATGATCTGACCATGATATAACCATGAGAAATCCTGCCATTGTTGCATAACACTTGAAAGGATATAAAAAATGGCTGTTTAGATGAAGGTGAATGATGAGTGAAAAATCCACCCACAAGAAAAACATTAAAAAAAACATTGGTAACGCATAACTAAAAGTTCATCCATTCAGAACAGCAGGTTCACTGCTTAAAGGGGTCATATGATGCTTTTTTAAAGATCATTATTTTGTGTATTTGTTGTAACAAAATATGTTGACATGCTTTAATGTTCAAAAAACACATTATTTTTCAAATACTGTACATTATTGTAGGTCCTCTATGCCCCGCCTCTCTCAAACGCTTAGTTTTCTACAAAGTCCCTCCTTCCGACAAGCGCAGTCTGCTCTGATTGGCCAGCTGACCCAGTGCATTGTGATTGGCCGAACACCGCAAGCACTCGTCGGAAATGTAACGTCCCTTACCATAATCGCAAGCTTCATCTTTCAAAAGAAATGTAAAGACAGAGCCCGAAAGGGGAACAGAGTCACGTGACAGACACAGTGATGAAGCTGGTATGTGTGCAGTACACAAGCCACGGTTAAGACAGCTGACTCCACTGTGATGTGTCTCTCTCTCTCGCTCTTGCTCTCACTCTCGCTGTCTCTCTCGCTCTCCCTCTCTCTCTCTCTCTCTCTCTCTCTCTCTCACGCACGCGTGCACACACACACACACACGATGCGCAAAACTCCGCATTACCTCCTCTCCTAGGTTCACGAAACGGTCATCCATAAAATGCATTGCTGTTCTGTTGTAAGTAATCTTAAAGATTCCTAAATGCATCTACTTTCAGAAGGCCAAATAAAGTGCTTTTGCTTTCACCTAGAAACACACAG